ATATTTTCTCAGTCCAGAAGTGGCCATGTTATACCCTTCGTATGCTTGACACGTACTTGACACGTCCAAAATACCCCCGCTCCTTCGCGCAACATACAAAGGTACGCTCAGCGTATAACAGTACGCCTCGCATACCACAGTTATGCCCAACGTAACGAGAGGCTTCATCCACCTATAAAAGGGGTGTGAGGCTACCCCGAATTGTCTTACAAAAATTTACACTTTTTCACATTCTACTTTCTCTTAAGCTACACTAAACCCCCCGAAGTCTAGGGAACCTTCCTAGCACTAGAAGAAATCCCCGGAGAGCCCGAAATCTCCGAGAAAAAGAGTTTTTTCGAGTGAAACTCTGCTCGCGTAAAGCCCGGTTTTCTGAGCAAACCTCCCAGTTTCATCGAAAAAGATTGTTTTAAGAAACGATGTGTTGTCCAATCACCATCTAATCAGGTGAGTGTATAGTCACTTTCATCTTACACATAGATATGAAATAATTTATATAAATTACATGCTATGTGTGTGTGTGTATATATATATATATATATATATATATATATATATTGTTTGTTTGTTTATTCGAGATGTACGTTGAATGAATGTTTTATACAGGTTTAGAATTATTTAAACTGTATATGTATTTTTATCTACAAATATGTTGGGTAAAACATAGGTAGATGAATAGTTGATGTGTGATGAAATAAAATGATGAGTGGCCTTGAATTTGATGATGTTCCAGTCATCTAGCGGAGTACAAATGACGACCACAGACTTTTCTAGACAGTTTAGTAGAATGCTAGTAGGCTTGCAACATGTAGGTGTTTGTGAAAGATGTGTTCACCGATGTACTCCAACCCCCTCCTGGTTGCCTTACGGACATATGTGGCTGAGGAATCCCCTTAGCAGTAGTGTCCATCCCGATGATGATTCTTCGGCTAGGTCCCTTGTGATAGGCGTTTAGGGATGTAAAGTGAGGATAACGGGAACTGGTAATCAGGGTTATTGTTGGTTGATAAAATTAATAAATTTATTTATTGTGGGTTAAACCCTATGTGTTCACCAGTCTCCAAAGCCTGACTTACTCAACTTTATGTATTATAGGTAGTGAAACAAGATCATAGTTGGATGACTTGACGATGAAATTTGGATTATAGGCCAGTAGATGTAAATACATGTTGTGAGGCCTATATTGTATTGTTTATGCTTTTGATTTGTATCGATGTTGACATCCCAAGTTAGTAATGAAATGAAAATACATTTTTTAGGAAATATTTTGATAAATTTTATCATATTTTTTTTAAGAACAAATTCCACAACACTTTTCTTTGAAATATTACTCTGATTTTATTATAAAAGCATAAACGAAATCGGACTTTTATGGCCATGAAAATAGGGATGTCACAAGGAATATTATTTCTTTTCATGATTTGTACAGACAAGGTTTTAGATTTTCATTTGATAATGAAACTAGTTCTATTAATGCTTATTATAATGGTTTATTTTATTTTGAAGCATTGCCTTGTAATGGTGTATATGAAACTGTGATGGTTGTAGACAACTTAGGAAATGATGTGTTGTGTAATGATTCGTCTAATGGTTTAGACAAGACATGCTTGTGGCAATGTCGTCTTGGACATGTCAACATGAAGCGTATAGCCTAACTCCAAAAGGATGGAGTGTTGGAATCATTTGACCTAAAATTAGATGATGCGTGCGAATATTGTTTACTTGGAAAGATGGCTAAATCACCTTTCACTGGTACTTGTGAAAGAGGTGAGAGATTGTTGGATCTCATACACACAGACGTGTGTTGGCCCTTCAGATCTACCACAAGGGATGCTAACCGCTTCTATGTGACTTTTACCAACGATTGTAGTAGATATGGATACATCTACTTAATCAAGCACAAGTCGGAAACCTTTGAAAAGTTCAAAGAGTTTAAGTAAGAAGTGGAGAATCAATTGGGCAGGAAGATAAATATGCTCAGATCCGATAGGGGTGGTGAGTATCTTAGCATCGAGTTCCACGACTATCTTAAGGAATGTGGAATTGTTTCACAATTGAAGCTACCTAAGACACCACAACTTAATGGTGTGCCTGAGAGGCGCAATCGAACATTGTTGGACATGGTTTGTTCCATGATGATTCGAGCTTCGCTACCAATCTCATTCTGAGGGTATGCCTTAGAGATTATCGCCCATATCCTTAATCTAGTACTGACTAAGAAGGTTGCCAAAACACCTCACAAGATGTGGACAGGGAAGGTTCTCTCGTTGGCACATATCAAGGTTTGGGGTTGTGAAGCTTTCGTAAGACGAGAGTCTCACAACAAGCTTGAACCTCGTAGCGAGCAGTGTATTTTCATCGGTTACCCACATAAATTCTTTGGATATCTTTTCTACAAACCTAGTGACAACATGGTCTTCGTAGTAAGGATAGGAGTTTTCCGCGAGAGGGAAATCATATGCTAAGAGGACATTGGGAGAACAATTGATATTGAAAAGATTCAAGAATCAAGCGGTGAAGGAACCTCTAACACTAGCGTTCAACCTAAGGAAGAGATTCATGTTGAACCGATTGGCGAGTCATTGCCGCCCAGATGTTCCGCTCGAGTTAGAATGGCACTGAAGTTTTAGGGTTTTCATATTACTACGGACGGTAATACGTTTATCAGTGATAGTACACTGGTAAATTTAGACGAGTCTTCTAACTACAAGGAAACCATGGAGGGCCCCGAGTCTGCTAAATGGAAAGAGACAATGTACAACAAGATCCGGTCCATGTATGAAAATCAAGTTTGGAACTTGGTTGACAATATATAAGGTTGAGGGTTCAAGTTCCACTATGGACATAAGTTGAATAATTTAGGAATAGTTTAGTATATTTGCCGTTTATATATATATATATATATATATATATATATATATATATATATATATATATATATATATATATATATATATATATATATATATATATATATATATATATATATATATATTCATATATGCTTTTCTTAAACATCAAAATATTATATTTATCCAACTTAATTTCTAAATATCATATTTACCCTTCATAAAATTTCAAAATATCATATATGTCCCTTTTAAACATCAAAATATCATATATACCCTTTTTAAATATCAAAATATTGTATATGCATTTTTTAAACATTAAAATATCAATGGTAATATCTAAAATATCTTCCGTCTAGAACATGATAATAATTAACAACAAAAATTAAACAATCAAAATATACATTCCATAGAAATGGTTGAAGATGAATCTTTTTATCTGTCAAGAGGCCGGAATTCCAACAATTTAGAAGTTCACATTCCATTATTATCGACGTAAAGATAATATGGTTAAATTTCTTAATTATTATAATAATTCTAAGGTAAAAAAAGATTATAAAATTTTAAAAACATTATAAAAAAAGGTTTTGTATTTTGAAGTTTAAAAAGGATGAAATTCTCTTATAAATAATTTAATTTTTGAACTTAAAAAAAAAAAAAAAAAAAAAAAAAAAAAAAAAAAAAAGGTTTTGAATTGCCATGCCTCAAGGGTAAATGTGGAAATATAGTTACGAGGAAGGCGAAGTTATCATGTGTACGCGTCGACTTACATTCTAGGGTTTCAGCAGCGATCAGAGAGATGGCAATGATGATCCAACGATGGGGCACAACGGCGAAGCGATTACTACTAACGGCTGAGCAAAGGTACGCATTTACTTCACTATCACCATCGTCAACGTCGACTGCTCCGGCGCCGTCACCTGTTCTGTGCGGGAGGGGGGATAAGAGGACTAAGAAGGGGAAGATTTTTAAAGGGTCGTACGGAAACTCGAGGCCGAAAAAGGAGAAGAAGATTCAACGGATTAAGGACAAGCTCGAGGTCCCCAGGTCAACTCCTTGGCCTCTCCCTTTTAAACTCATTTGATTTCTATTCTGTAGCCCTATTTTGATTTTTGAGTATGATCTTAATTTTCAAGAATTGTAGCAGTGTTCTTGTTGATGTGCTGTTATAAAGTATTGATATGAAATTTGATGTAGTTCATCGTTCAAATGAATAATCTACTGGTTTATGATTCATAACGTTTCATTTTCGAAATCAACAGTATTGATGTTTTCTGCTGATGATTTGTAGTCACTATGAAGTTTGATTAAGTTTATCTTTGTAACAATTCACTGTTGGTTTGATTTCGAAACTGAATCAAAGTGTCAGTTTGATTTTGTTGGCAAAAGAATTGAATGTTTGAAGATCTCTTGTTTTTGTATGACTCTTTATCAGATATCGATATGCAATTTGATTAAGTATATTTTTTTCTAAAAGCAACTGAGTAGAATATGTATGTTTGATCTGTTTTAAAGGAAATCTAACTTTGAAGATGTCTAGAGATGATTTCTTTCAAATGAGTAATTCACTATTTTGTTGGCAGAAAGAAGCATAAGTTTATGAATTTCTAGATATGTTCTTGTTGATTATTTTTATAAAGTTTTGATTTGCAATTTGATTAAACTTATCTTTTAAACGAATAGTTCACTGGTCTTATTATTTAAAAAATTAATTAATCTTAAATGTTGACTAGAATTCTAGAGATGTTCTTGTCAAGAGCAAACCGCATGAAATAGCAATGTATTTTATGATTCTTATTAATAATAAAGGCAATGTCCTTTATTTTTTTATACCTTTAATTTTTTTCAACAATGTACATACAATTCCTTATCCATATTAGCCTCCTACTTTCATTTCCTTAACGATGATAGCAATACATAAAAAAAAATCTATATTATCCATTATTAGTAGTAGCAAAATGCAAGCACATTGCTATTATTGGTACCAACTATAGTAATATTACTATTATCTGTAAAAAAAATGTAAGCACATTGTTATTATGAATAGTTCCCACAACTTGTCGTATTGTGAAGAAATGGAAGACTGTTGCATAAAATAACATGTTACTGGTTACATGTATATTTTGTTCTTATTAAGAAACATAGTTGGATATTTCATTTAAGTATTACTCTTTTGTTACATAAACTAAAAACATATATAAACATCAATTGCATAAACAACCATTTAACTTCAAATAAAATTACCACCCAAACATTGTACTTAAAAACATGTTCAAACCTATCTCTTCCTTCTTGGCTTAGCACAAGATGAGAGACTTTCTTCCCTAAAACCCAAAACATCAATATACTCCATACCAATCAAAACTCTCAATCCACTAACTAGGGTTAGGGTTAGCCGAAAAATACGCCAACACACCAACAAACGGTGCATTAATGTAAGTCGTAGGCTCGGATTTTCTAAAATCCGCCCTATCATCATCATACACATCATCCTCACCGGGCCCACCCACCACAGCTCCAACCAAAACATTGGGATTCGGGCCCGACGAGTTAAAATAAACCGATCCTTCTTTACACCCAATGAACTGCGGGTGGTCCCTAACAGACGGCAGGGACGACCCGCGGTGATGAATCCGTTGCGGGTACCTATCACTATACCCGACCATATACGACATTCCGTTAGGGTTTTCCCCGAGGATGTAATCCACCTGGCGTTTGGCCATCTGGCGAAGGAATGTGGGCCCCACACTTACGGAACCACAATTTATTGATGTTGATGATTGTTGTAGGTATTTTGCGTAAACTAACAGTAAGAATGTGATTGTGGTTGAATGTTGTAAATTGCTTCCACCGGGTCGGAAGATTAAGCCTCCCGGAGTGTATTCCATGTGAGAGTAAGACGAGTCGGGTATCAACGTGCACATGAAGCTATCCGCAGATGCTTTGTATGATTGGAGGTTATACAAATTGTCTTCCACAACTTCCTGCATTTCAAATCCAAAGGAGCTTATTGCAATTTCAGTAACTACAAGGACCCAAAATGTATATTTCAAAAACTTGTTATTGCTTTATTGGAGTTTACCTTGGAAACAAGAACATTTAGGCCAGCGTGTTTATTGTCCCATCCAAACTCATTAATATTTTCATCAGCACCAAGTGTTTTACCATTGTTTTGTATGTAATCCAAGTAGTTTTCAACTCTAGATGCTCTTCTTAACCATGCCGCTCCCCATAATAACTCATCCTGCCAAATTAATTATTTCTTTTCAATTTTTGGTTTTTTGATAAAAAATAATAATAGGTTAAGAGGTAAATCGATAAATTGGTTACCTGATAACCATCAAAATCACAGTAATAAGGGCAAGCAGCTTCCCTAATGTCTGAATTATCACTGTAAGCTCCTCTGTAAGTATCGGCAAATTCAAAAACTCTTGTGGCTGTTCTTAAAAGTGTGTCTGAATAGCCTGGATCAGAAGACCGGAAAGCCATGGATGAAGCGGCTAGAGCCGCTGCGGTCTCCCCGGCTACATCTGAGGCTGGGTTCGGTGCACTCACGGTGTACACGGTTCGAGCCGTGTCCATGTCCTCTGGCCTTTCCCAACAGTTATGGTCATTCATCGGCTCACCTATCTACAATGAATTGAAAAACATTTTTACATTCGTTTCAATTTTTATCACATTTGAAAAATCGACTCAACTATTGTATTCATTGTTATAATTTGATAGATTTTTTTAATATGCAATAGAAAAAGGTAATATTAAAATGCTACAATAAATTATTGGTATTTCTTAAATTAACCCGATAAGCTATACATGAGTTTTTTGTTTTTGTATTTTTTTTTTTAACACAGCAAAAAAAGAAAGGTTATTTAAAAAAGTTAAGGAAATAAAGGTTTTTAAACATCACGGGTTCACTTTATGTGGGGACCACCAACAGAAGTGGATAGGGAGGTGACGCTAATAAATCCAACACAAGACATAATACACACTCACTTACATTAGCCTCACGGGTTGTCCTACAAAAGGACCAAAAACATTCAACTCCAACCAACAGAAACTTAAAAACTTTAAAGACTTAAAACGTTCTTAACAACCATATGGTTTTTTTTTATTAATAGTTGTCTGGATGGATAATCTATAAAATATATTTGAAAAAAGTAACTAACCAATAGAAGAAATCAAAAGGAAAACATAAATAAATAAGGACAAACTCATAAAAAGTTAGTATAAAACTCATTTCTTTTGTTTTTCTATTGAGTTATTCTTTGTGCATAAGCCAAAAAGAAAAACTCATCTAGATTCTAGCTTATGTCATGTGCCATTAAGAAAAAACCATTACCAAACGTTCACCACTAAGAGAAAAAACATTACCAAACATTGAACACGATCCAATAAAAAATAAGAAACACACACACATACATAATAAAACTGAAACCATTATGCCAAATCCATCACTGACAATCATAATAATAATCATAACAGATTATTATTCTTATTAATAATAAAAAAAATTCAATGGTTGAAGTAAACAACAAATGTAGTCATGCTACAGGTTTTGTGCACCGAATACCCTCTAACAGATTTTACTAGTTGGATAGTGGATAGCCCATGCACATCACCATATAATACACATAACACATCAACAATCACTTTCAGTTATCACTTGCAATCATTCACTCAGTGTTTACATATAAACTAATTTGTATTGAGAGTAAACCAAAAAATGCACAGATAAAAAAAAACGTTACTCAAACATAATGATGGTATATGATATGATTATTATACTAAAATGGAATGTTATATCGCGTTTTATTAATGATTGTTGTAAATTTTATGTGACATACATGTTAGCATTATTTTAAAGGAAAGCTTTAATCCAACCCCACCGTCATTATTTTTGTCCTATATAGCCACATTAAGGAGGTTCAACAACTGCTAGACCACTTCACCTATATTACCAAAATGCCCTCACCTCTACCAATCAATTACACTCACACCAAACAATTCATAACATAGCAGTTACTAATCGTACCTGAACAACAATCCGATCCGGTTGCGCCACCGTCTTCAGCAAATAATCAGTGGACCACCTAATCGCCACCAACGCATTCCTTAACTCCGTCGGCGGCATCATCTCTCCAAATTCAATCACACTCCACGCCAGCATCGTCGTCGTGAACGCCATCGGAAAACCAAACTTCACGTTATCTCCGGCGTCGTAGTACCCGCCGGTGAGGTCGGCATTGACGGTTGAACCGTCTCCGAGTCCAGAATGCCCCCGCCAGTTCATTCTCTGGTCGTTGGGGAGGTAACCGGAGCGCTGGCCTTCGAAAAACAGGATTGATTTAGAGAGCGCTTCGCCATAGATTAGATAGCTCGAATTACAGAGAGAAATTCGAAGAATGAGAACTGAAATTTGGAGAAGAAATGGGAAGAAGAAACGTGAAGCGACAGGCTTCATGGTTGCTTTTTGGCGCTTAACTTATGAGAGAGGAATCAGGAATGTGTCGCCGAGGGGTTTATATATTCAACTCTCTTCCTAACAAAAACTAATTAAAGCCGTTATATATATATATATATATATATATATATATATATATATATATATATATATATATATATATACACACACACACACACACGATCCTACGGTTCTACTGTGAACCTACCAAAAAATAATCCAAATAAGACAGGGTTCGATTTATGTAGGTGAGATTATAGGATTGTACAATCCTACGATCAGAATCACGATTTTAATAACCATGGTTTACAACGTGTATCTTTAATTTTACGCATTTTTTTTCGAACAAAAAAAATATTTCCAGAAAAACCTTTAATTTTTTTTCTCTCTTTAAAAAAGCCCTTGCATTTAGCAATTTTTTTTTGTTTTGATTAAGTTTTTTGTTTTGGCTAATAGTTCTTAATTTTTTATGTTATTGTTTATGGTGTTATTGATGATCTTCAAAATTAATATACGGATGTGACATTTGTTTTTTTTTTTTGTTCAAAACAAAAAAATGGATGTCGTGTCTAATTATAGTAGAAAAAATGCATATCAAAATCTATTTATAGATGCGCGGAGAGTCTAAGATTGGTGCATGTGAAAAGCAATGGTCTAAACTGACTTAGAGGTTAGAGGTTAGAGCTTAAGGCTTGTGGCTTGTGGATTATGGTTTATGGCTTGAGGCTTAAGGATTTTGGTTTATGTGTCGAGGATTTTAGATTATGGCTTATTGCTTATGGTTTAAGGCTTATAACTTATGGCTAATGGCTCATGGTTTATGTTTTATGGCTAAAGACTTTGGGCTTTTGAATTACATCTTATGTTTTAAGGCTTAAAACTTATGTCTTATGGTTTAAGTCTTGAGGAATAGGCTTAATGCTTATGTAATATGGGTTAGAGCTTATTGCTTATGACTTATGGCGTATGTTCTATGGCTTAGGACTTAGGGTCTAAGTTTACAAATTTTAGCCTTATGGCTAAGGGATTTGACTTATGGTTAATGGCATAGCCATTACAAACTTAAAGCTTATGGTTTAGGGCTTAGTACTTAGGGTTTATGGATTTTGTCCTTATGGGTTATGGATTTGTGTTATGGTTCATGGCTTAGATATTATGGGCTTAGGGTTTATGGTATATGGCTTAAACCTTATGGCTTATAACTTAAGGATTATGACTTAGGGGATTGTAGCAAGTGAATGATAACAAAAAGATGAACAATTTAAGCCGACTTAGTATGTTTGATTTTTGTTGGAAAAATGCATAACAATTAACGTTTGTTGGCAAAATGCATATCAAAATCTATTTTCATGATGCTATGAGATTTTAGCAGGCGAAGACTAATAGTTTAAGCTAACTTGACATCTTAGCTTCTTTTAAGAATCAAACAAAAAGACAACTTCCGAACTCCAAGCAATCTAAGATACCAATAAGGCTTGGACCGATGTTTTCCACCTACCACAATATTCGAGTATCCTATAAATAGACTTTGATATGTATTTTATCAACAAAAATTGGACACAATATCAATCTTGTTTTGTTTTGAAAAAATCAAATGTTTCATTTAGATTTTAATGTTGTGAGAAATTATGATCCAAACCAAAAACATTAGTCAAATGTGAGAAAATTTTAGAGGGATTTTTTTTTTTTTTTTTTTTGAAAACAAGTTGAGCTTTTTTCTTCAAAAAAATATGTAATAGTTATTTAAAAAAAAATAAAGGTGAAGTTTAATTCGAATTTTATATATTAATAATTACTTCATAGACTCTTTAAATATTTGATAAAGTATACTTATTAAATAACTAATAAATAAATATGGAATTTGTTTTCAAAAAGCGTTATGCTAAACTAGACTTACAAATCTCTCAAATTAGGTAGCCATTGATATGAAACATGCTATGTGAAAATTATCTTTAAAAAAAATAAGAAAAAAAAACATATAAAAACATTATTACTCAATAGGTCTTCATGATTATTTTACATCTAAAATCTTCTATCTTAATAAAGGAAATCAATTTTTCCATTGGCACTTCCACAAACCATTTTTCGTCAAAGTAAAATTCCAACTATACCTTTTTTATTCTAAATATCTTTATACATATTATCAATAACTCAAAAAACAAAATTTGCATAATTAACTTTAAATCCCTATAAATTTGTAACGACTAACATAAAAAATTTGAATTCCTTTTTTACCTTTAATTTCGGCATAATATTCAATTTCTGAATATAATTCGATTCCATTTAATTTATAAAGATACAATAAGATTCTTACTTTTATTTTTTAGTTCATATATTTGGTTTGTTCTATGGTTAGTACATATAATATACATCCTTTTTTCATTCTTTTATTAAACTTTAAATGTTATTGTTTATTAAATTAATTATGTTTAATATATGATAAATAATATCTAATGTATTGTATTTCGAAGTATATTTATAATAGATAACTTGTCGAATATATTTATAATTTTAATGTATATTTTATGTTTAACAAATTATAAAACCCAACAAGTTGTTTTATAATGTCTATTTATATTTTCTAACTCAAATGTTAATTTTGTTTTTTGTTTTGCTACATCTTCAATTTTAAAAAGTTATATTATTTACACAAATATATTTTATAAAAATAAGATTAAAATTTTATAAATTTTTGTTTTTTCATTACCATTTTAATTATTAATAATTCAATATTATATTTCTTTTTTTACCCGTGTTTTTGACGGTTGTAACCTAATATCATATAATCAAATATTGTAAAGTGGTCATTGTAATGTTAACTCGCGATAATTATATTCCGTATAATAAATACAAACTTATATAGAAAGTCAAGTTCTAGTTTTAATTTGGTTATTGACAAAATTGGTAAAATGATGAATGATCATGTTAAAATTTAAAACATTAATTTGGATTTCAAAATCCCATTGTTATTAACTTATTATGCGTTTATATTATTCCGATTGCATGCTTAAATTAGAAAATTGAGTAATCAATCATTGATTATTAAATTAATATATATATATATATATATATATATATATATATATATATATATATATATATATATATATATATATATATAAATTAAAATAATTTTGTCTAATCTCTAATAAGTTTTGATACTTATCATTTTGTGATAGTTTTTCAACAAATAATAATATCCACATGTTTTTGTTTTATAATTTTTTTTTATTTAAAATCCATATAATACTTATATAAAACATGATATGTAATAAATATTATATTAAATTGTAATTAATATGTTTTTTCATTCATTATTTCAATTTTTTTAAACTAATAATTATTACATTTTAATATGTGAATTTTTTTTAATCAACTCGTGTAATAAACAGGTTTATACGTAGTTTATATATATATATATATATATATATATATATATATATATATATATATATATATATATATATATATATAAGTGAGATCCGTTGAGAACTCATAATTTCCCGAGAACCTAAGAACCAAAGATGCAACGTTAGATCAAAATTAACTCATTAAGGACATGATCGTCATTTTACCAATCTTTTTAATATTTATTTTTTGTATCATTGAAATATAAATAAGTATTTATAAAAATTAACATAATAAATTTTAGATTTTTTTTTAAATATTAATTTTCTATTTTCTTTTTAAAATGCAGGTTTTTAAATTTTTTTAGAAAACATGAATTTTTAAAAAATAAAAAATACCATTTAAAAAAAACAACAATTTTTTTTAAAAAACAGTAAATTTTTAAAAATCTATAAACTTTAAAAAAAAAACTATAATTGCTCTAACAAAAAAAATCGACGTTTTAGGTGCATATATGCATATTTTTTTCAAATGCATATATTCATATTTTTTATACTATAATATTCGAAAGTAAATCATAAAAAAACTCATTTTTTTATTTATCAATCTATAAACACAACAATACAAGTATTTTGTTGACAAAATAAAATACAAAAAACAAAAAATGCTACAAACCTTCGAAGAGTTTTAATGCCTTCATGTCAAGATTTCCATATTTTCTTCAATCGATCACTTTTCACATCTTCAATATTTTCCACAAATTATTTAAAATCTACAAGAAAATTTGATTAATGCAATAACACTCGTAAAAATGCATATGTGTATATCATGCAAGATTCACATGTGATTGTATATGTTAAAATTTAAATGTGAAATTCACAATAAAATTTTAAAAAAAAAATAATTAACGAAGAACACTCAGACAAAATGCATGTTTCCATATAGACTTTATTCATATGTGATTCACTTGTAATTTACATGTGAATCACTTGTGATTTAAATGTGAATCACATGTAATTCATTTGCAATTTACATGTGAATCACATGTAATTCATATGCGATTCACTTGTGATTTACATGTAAATCACATGTAATTCATTTGTAATTTACATGTGAATCACATGTAATTCCTATGTGATTCACTTGTGATTTACATGTGATTCGCTTGTAATTTACATGTGAATCACATGTAATTTGTTGAGAACTTAATATTAATCAAGAAATATTTACATAGACGTAGCGAGTAAACGAGGAATAAGCTGTGCCGCAACCCCTTTTTGGATGGCAAAACCAATTCTATTAAAAACAACATCTATAGATCTTGGAGTCATAACATTACAATGCCTGACCCGTTGGACTCTTTTGAGTAGCTCCACAACTTCTGGCGCAAGGAAACCGAAAGTATCAAATGTAAAGGATAAAACTGCAAAATGGTCCCTGTGGTATGCATTTTTTTGGGATTTTAGTCCAAACCCTAACTTTTTTGGATTAGTGGTCCTTTTGGACTAGTTTGTATGTGAAAATGGTCCCTGTGAAAATTGAAATGACTATAATACCCGTGGGGTATTTATTTTTTATTTTTCTTTCATCACTTTAAAATTTAATATTTATTTAATTATTTTAAGAATTAAAAAATAATAAAGGACCTCTCTCTCTCTCTCTCTCTCTCTCTCTCCCCGAAGCCATTTCCCAGTTCATCTTGTCTAACCAAAGAACATGATTGCAGCCCC